TCCTCTGGTAGTTCCTTGATTAGGGTATTGTTTACTGCTTGATTGTGTCCCTGGTGGTAATCTCTGCTTATCTGGGTGATGAAAGCTGGTGAGGAGATGCTGGATAAACAGCATCTACACACTATTCAAAAGAGACAATAGAAAAGAAGACAAATGACCAGAACATCTCCACAACAGCAATGTTTTCACTTCATTGGTGTCACCAAAGTAAATGTTTCTGTGCCTACACTCTCAGCCACAAAAAGCCTTCAGAACAGCCACATTGATGCTTCTGGAGGATGCAGCTTCATTTGCAGCAGTGCATTTTGCGAAGTATCCATTCTAAATTCACCACTCATCTTCAGTCAACTGTAGCTTAGGACATAAGTCACCATTGAAACAAATTATGGCTTAGTGCAGTGTGTAAACTAGCCTGCGTATAAACCCAGTCTAAGGGCAGCATGATGGAACATAACTGAAATTAAACACTGAAGATCACCAACATTGTATCTGATTTGTCTAATTCTGAGTTTTTGCAACTGATTTTCCTCTGAATACCATATAGAATAGGTCCATATGGAACAGGAATTTGATATGTTTGTAATAGTTACAGGACAGGCCTTTGAGCCAAATATTTGGTTTCCTCATGTTATGTGCATGTGCATATAGTGACCTAGAATGTGCATAGTTCCTGATGAAAACGATAAAATTGTTGACTTTATTTACAATGTGGTATTTTTACAGACAGTACCAAGACTTCCTGGAAGATCTAGAAGAAGATGAAACAATTAGAAAAAATGTCAATATTTATAAAAGTAAGTTTCCCACCTGAAATCATTTCATTCTGGAACTGGCAAACCACTTCTAAAAATGTTGCCAAGAAAACTGCAAAGACTTGTCCTGCAGTCACCAGGAATTAGGGTTGACTCAATGGATCATAATAGCAACAGCAGTAAGGATACACTGGATTGTGGGTTTCTCTGGGCATGGACATCCACAAAGAGAGCAAATGACAAAACACATCTCTACACAAACTCTGCCCCTTTTGTATTTGCATTGTAATGTGACACACAAGTATGTAAGGAGTGGAACTTCCATCATGAGTGTTCCTTATACTACAACTTACACCTAACAAAATCAAGGTAGATTATTTTGAGTTTCTTTTTCATGCTTTCTTCCTTACCAGAACTCAGTAATCTTTTCTGAAACTCCTCTGTTAATAGTTTGTTCTTTCTCTCCCCATTCCCAGAGTCATGTCAACATTCCATCACATAGTCCTACAATATAAATAGAGTGATGTAAATAGTTCATTGCATCTGTTAATGATCAACCTGATTTGCAGTTAACTAGTTGGGCGGCAAACCACAGGCACAGTAGTTATTGCACACTCAGAGAATTTGCATTATGCAAGAAAGTTTTGTCTGACAAGTTTGAGCGTGACCACTCTCTTCCAACAGATTCAGATCAGTTAAGCGTATTTTGATGCTCAGGATGAAGAGCAGGTTAAATCCTTTGCAGCTTATTGCACCTTTCAGTTAAATGTCTTAGCTACACACAATTCAGAATGCTTTCTGAATTCTGAGTTTCCCTTTAAAGGTGGGATGAGCAACTTCTCTGTAATTGGGGACACTTAAAAGAAAAATTGGTGACCTAGGGTCTCAGTGGATAAGGTAGTGTTATCATAACAGCACAGAAGCGGGCAGAGCTAGGTTTTCCAGATGGTTTCCATTTTGAGGACAGTCTAAAACTAATTGAAAGTTACAGGGGGTTTTGTGTGTAGAAAGGTTATAGGAAATTATGCCACCATTTGTTAGAGGTTTGTCACCAAAATTTAGCAGCATGATTTGGGGGGCTGTGAAAAAGTGGCACGCAGGCTGCAATTTATCATCCTTTTTCTACAAACAAGAAGCCAATAAATTGGGAATGGTTAATTAGGATCAACATAAAAGAGCTTTGTCTAATCCCATTAAATTGTTTCTCTAGCTGCCCTAATAGTTTAATGGATTCTAAATACCTGAGTAAAATTAGGATGGATTAAAATTAGGATGGATTAATTATATATGCATACTGGCCCTTATTCTCCCGCCCACCAGAACTGATTTGTATAACTCAGCAGTAACCTTAAAGAAATAATGCTGTTTTAGGCCTGGATAATCATTTTCCTACTGACCTTGCTCCTTACTTCAGCGATTAGAGCTTGTGTTATAGAAGGGAAGAAAATTCCAAATTAGTTCCCACTGAACATCCTCCCCCTTCCTTTAATAAAAAAGCAGATTGGTAACAAAGAAACGAGCTATGCCTGGGAGAGAAAGTAACATAACATTTAATATGTCAAGTACATTTTAAGATTTAAGAACTGTTTATTTCTTCAAGCCTTGCACTTAAAGGGTTGTAGGAAAGTGACCTGTTCTATAAAAGATACTGTAATGGAGTTCTCTGAGCCTGGAAATGAGAAGGCAGATTTCCAGAATAATGCAGAACAAGAACAGTCATTCATTTCTCATAAGCAGCTAGCTACCACCAGCCCTCTTAAATCAAGAGAAAGTAGATAAGAACTCAAAGGCATCAAGGAGGACCCACCTTAATGTACTTGTTAATGAAAGCGGGGCTAAAGGACACATGTATCCAGTTTACAAGATTATGTAATCTAAGCCCTTTATTTTAGAATAAATTTGGCAACAAGACTTAATGAGAACCTTCCATTTTTGGTTACTGTTAGGGGACTTCATGGGTATCTTTTCCCTTCATAGCTTAAAAGATTATTTGTATAATAAACAATGCAAAGATAGTATGGTATTTTTATTTTAGATGTACCTCCTTGTAGAAATACACAAGTTGCCAGTCTTTAAGATTGTAACATTCTATATCATGCAGAAAGCCATGCTATTTGATCCTCTAGTCATTTCTTTTTAGACTATATGCTATGTTCTTACATTGTAGATCCAGTCATTCCAGTGGAAAGTGACATAGATGATGATAGTATTCCCCAAATCAGTCTCACTGAAATGCTGGAAGACCTTCAGATATCTCAAGATGCTACAGGTGGAGAAGGTGCTGATATGCTGATGGAATAAGTTAGGAGATCTTGTTAACTGAATTTTGTCCTCCCTTGAAAAATAGTCATTAAGAAATCTGTTATAGGCATTCTTGACCTGCAAAGCCAATAATATTGGTAAGATTTGCAGGAGGTTAAGAAACAAATGCTCCTGAAAGTTTTAATGGTTAATAAAAAGGAAAATATAGTAGATTTAGGATTTTTTAAAATTATGTATCAAATTGATATGTATCTTACTGTATAAAACAATGCTTCAATGATTTCAATATCTGCATTCAGGACCTTAGGGCTGTTAGTGTTGAAAGATACTCCAGATCAGCTTTAAGAAAATTCAAATATATTTTAAACTGGTCCTTTAGATACATCATGTCTTACAGCCAGCAAATGTATGAAATCTGATTAATTCAAATTAGGAAGTGAAAAGTTTGTACTGAGATTGCTTCAGATTATTTTAAAATATTTAAATTGTTTAGAATGTAGACCAAATAGCTGGTTTAACATATTGCAGTAAGCTTTAATGAGGTTTGAATTATTTTAGCTTAGTATACTTTATGAATTCATCTCTGGTGGAAGCACAATGACATCAAAATGATGTCCTATGAGGCATGAGATTATCATGCAGATGATGCAAAGAGACAGATTATAATTTATGTAATTCATGCCATTTGCGTTATGACATCATGCTGCATGAGATGTCATTTCTCTTCTCTCCCCAGCCATTGTAATTTATAAGCCATGTTTTATGGTTTAGGACTATATGTGAATTCAGCCAATTTTAGTCAGTAAACCATGGTTAATTAAATTTTGGTTTAGTGTGATATATGAACCCAACAGTTAAGCAAAACAAATATCTTAGAAATTTATTTGTGTCCTTCACCTCTTTAGGAATTCTGGGGGTTGAAATCCAGATAGATAGATAGAGAGTGCCCAGGCTGGAGAAAACTATGCTAACTTCTCTAACAGGGTATAATTCTTCAGTCTTCTCTTGAGGTTAGAAATAGGTTCATGAAGTAAAAAGGAGCATCAGTGCTACAGATTTGAAAAATACCTACTTTGTAAAATATTTTTTTATTTGAGCAACATATTCTCATTGGTGGAAGTTACAAAAGTAGACATAAACCACATACATGCATTTCTTAAAAGTATACTGTATTAAGTTCACAGCATGTTCATGGTATAGAAAAGGCTAACTGCTTCTGATCCTGCTTTTTTGAGATGTCTTGTTATCTGTTTTAGTTGATCTTTGAAGAATACCAAGGAAGTCTTTTTTTCTTATTTCCATAAGCTGATTATGCATGCCTAGGCACAGCTTTTAGAATACTAATTCATGACTACATATACTAAACTATGCAGTGAGATTTCACAACTACTTATCTAAAATGTAGGCATGTAGAAAGGTGTGACACCTGTGTTTATGAAAGCAGAATGGAAAAATCTAGGACTTTTCTTCTTGCTGAATCATTTATTTTACAGATGTGGCGTAATTTTGGGAAACTATCATAAGGAGTCTGTACCAATAATTTTTTTCTGTTGCGTTTCAAGATCTCTCTCTTCCTTGAGTTGAGGCAGTATGGAATAGTTTCTTAATGAAATGATAAAAAACAATGAACGTAAAATAAAATACACCATAAAATAATTGAGATACAAGATTGGTGTATAATACAACATTTCAGAGTAATTAAATAAAAATGGCATCATTGCTGAAAGGGTTTTTATAGTAAAAGTGCATTTCTCAATCCATGTAATGATATTTGGAGCTATAGTATTTAAATCTCATTACTTCCATAAAATTTCACTGTAAACATTACTGGCACAGCAAGTGTTACATCAAAGAAGCCTTAGCAATTATGCTGTTGAACTTGTAAACATTGCTTCACTGTTTTAGTGATAACTACCTTTCTCTATTAAAATATCTCAAGATCTAGCTATTCATCAAGTTGATAATGTGTTTCCATTCCATCTCCTATCTTGTAAACTATAAATCAGATGTCTATATTATATTGCTTCTGCATCATAAACAGTTGAGAAATGTCTGTCTTCAATGCTGCATGGTCCACTTTATCTTTATTAAACAGTCTGTAGTGCTGAGGCATGACTAATCTCAGCTATGCAGTCTTGAGAATTCATTGTTGCCTTAAGGATGCAAATCATTTCAGAATCAAACCGAGGCATATTTATATGACAACAATTTCAATAAATGGTAGATATTAAGCAGCCCATCCCCCCTTTCTTTTTCTTTTTCTTTTTTTGCTTATTCCTATAACACACAATTTCAGAGCAATTAAATAGTACTAGTATTGTTGCTAAAGAGGATAGTTGTAGTGAAGATTTTTGAATCCATGATATCAGAAGTATAGTATCAAATTCCAGTTTGCAAGGTCTGATGCTTTAGTAACAGAACCCAGTTTATGTTAGTTTCAAACCCCAATCTCCTAAGTCGGATTGCAGCTAGCAAGGATTGGAAAACTTCCTTGAGACCAAAGGAAATGGAGTACAGTACATAACTTAGGCAAAGTAGACATATAGATTTTTTTAAAAGCTTCAACAACCCCCAATTTTTATTTTAAATCTTGAAAATTAGCAGGCAATACAGGATTCTTGTCTTGTTTACATTTTTAGAGCAACCACATCTTGGCAAAAATCCAGATGACAACCAGGTTTTTTGTATCACTTTGGTGCTAATGGGTATCCAGATGTTTACAGCCTAGATATGGTAGCCATAATGCTAACTTAGAATTACAGAGGTTATAATTTCTCTATAATTAAATTAGAATTTAATTTACTAAGTTTAGTAAATTAACTAAATTAGAATTATAGAGATTATAATTTCTCTGTAATTCTCTAATTTAATCCCTCTGTTATATACTTATAGGTATATAAGTATATAACAGAGGGATAGTATGTGGACATTTGTAGCAAAAAAAAAATTTTTTTTCTACATAAGTGCAACAAGACTACTCTTATGGACCTATATCTTATAGTTTGGAAGTATATCATTGTTCAAATAAACATACTTTTCCATCAGCATCATTGCTTAATACGTTTCCAACTTTTCTCTAAACATCTCAACCAGGAACTGTTACTGAGTTATATATACACGTGCACACATACTCCTTGCATTTTTCTTTCACAGCAATTGCTTTTCAGAGTATATCTATGTAGAATCTAATCAAAGTAGTTTAGTTGATGTAAATAATGAGAATGTATTCAGAAAAACTAAAAAACAGAACACAACATAGACAAAAATATTTGATCAGCTAAGAAAAAATTATGGCTTTATAAAAGGTATTTGGTGATCTCCACTTATACCATTAGAAAAAAGGAATAAATAGACTAGGAGAGCTTGATGGCTTGTTTTGGGGTATGCCATTCTTATATATACACATTAGATATTGTCACCTTGAACCTGCTTGATCATGAGATAATCTAAAAACACAGTGCTGTATGTACATGATGCAGACTGCTGGGAGGGAAGGAAAACCTTTGCCATCAGAATCATTCTTTTGTTTGGACCGTTATTATGTGCATTTATAATTTATATTATTAATATAGTATTTAAATCTGTTTGTTCAACCCTTGAAAGTTAAAACTCAGCAATAACCAAGTCAAAGTGCTAAAAATAAAGACTAAACATTGGGCAACAGAGAGAAAACTCAAAGAGAAAGTGAATCACTTTGAAGAAGCCCAAATAAACAGTTATATTGGTAAAAGATGCTTGAACATAAAGGCATTTTTTAGTAACTGCATAGTAGATAGGTCCAACTTTAATAAGTACAAGGACCCAGGGTAATGGGACAGTAGGTTCCTGAATTTTTATTTGTGTAAAAGAGCCATGAGTCTACCATCTTTTTTCTTGAAATCCTATGTTATACTTCTAACTTTATACTTACTTATTGATGAATTGAGACTCTATATTGACCTGTCAAGTGAACAATATTGTTAAACGTATTTGTATTGTAATAGCACAAGTGCTACAATTCATTTCTTTTGAGTAAACATGCAGTTAAATATTAAAAAAGAATTGTTTATTTACCCATACAGTTGGGAAAATGTGACTTATATTTTATTATTGCCACTTGGGGGAAATGAAGTATTTGTAGGACTTATTTTCTATTGTGCATTTCAACTGAGATACAGTGGCATCTGCAGCAGCTGATTTCTGGGAATTGAAATACGCATCTAGTAATATTGCCCTAAAGAGATAGAGACACCTACAATTCACATGATGAACAAAGTGGGTGAATTTATATATTACCCTATTTAACAATTTGCTATACTGTACTCAAGAGCTTGTGATCTGATTTTAATTGTTAGAAGAAATAATCCCAGCATATCTATTCTTATATTAAAGAAGAGACAAGATGTCATAACAGTATGTGCCAATTAGATTTCTTTTATATTTTAGAATCCCACAAAATTCTAGCTTTTAGTTGTGCTTGCTGGTCAGAGTGGATAATACAGAAGAAAATGAGTAAAGTTGGAGTTGTTAAACATTTTATACATGTGCTGGAGCTAAGCCTGGAATTACAATGTAACCTCTACCAAGAAGAAACTTGAGAGTCAAGTGCCCTGTATATTTCTGTTATGGGTTCTTTGGATATCAGCTGTGTTATAACCAAAGTATCAAAGCTTGTACAGGTAGACCTTGCTTACTGACTGCCTCATGCAGTGACTGTTCAAAGTTACAACGCTGCTGAAAAAATAACTTTGCAACTAAGGCACACATTTACAACCTTCGGAGCATCTCTGTCAGCCTTACTAGGTGGACCAGACAGGAAAGATGACCAGATAAGCTCATTCTACTTTATTGTAAAGCTACAATAATAGAATCATGCAAGTCTGAAGGTACAATTCTCCCCCATTTCCTTTACAGCTCAAGAAACTAGGAAAGGTCTCTTTTGAGCCTCTTGTCCTGCCCACTATCCAGCTGCAGGCTATGCGGTCTCTTATCTGACCATTCCCTAGGCAGCATCTCTTGGCCCAGTCTCCCAAGGTCTTTCCCCCATACCATTACACTCAGTCACATGTTTGCCATTACAGTCAGTACCCCTAATCCTGTGCCTGACCCTTTTTTTTTATTTCCTCTCTCTCTCTCTTTCCCTCTCACAGAACAGAGAGATTGCTTGAACAAGTTATCTCTTCCTGAGCTGCTTTTCTCTGCAGCACAGCACTTCCCCAAAAGGTGCTAAAGGCAAGTTAGCAAGCTTAGCTCTGTGAACTTAATTAGCCTACTGGCAGCTGCTGCCTATAACTGATAAGACTTTAATCACTTTCATAGCTTTGGCTTTTGTTTGCCTCCTAATGTTTTATTTCAGCTTTCCTTTTTCCCCACTACCCTGCCCTTTGGAATGCTCACCCCAGCACTGGCATAAATAGCAAGAAGGGAATTAATTCACATTATTTAAATCTCTTCCTCTCCAATGAATGTAAATAGAAACATTAATTCCTTTCTTGCTAATTATCCCAGTGCCAGGGTGAGCATTCCAAAGGGCGGGGAGTGGGAAAAAAGGAAAACTGAAGTAAAATCCTAAGTACAGTCACAGTCATGTGAGTTTTCCATTTAGCGACCACATCACTTAGTGACCAAGTTGTCAATCCCAATTGTGTTCGCTAAATGAGGACTATGTGTAGTTCAAACCAAAAATGCATCTGCATTCACACACAACACTTGATGAATATGGTTGGCTAGTTTGTATCTTAGTATGTTGTGTGAACCATAGCAGTTGCATTAATTCAGTGAGTCATCATAACTCATTTAATCATTGTTATGTATTGTGCAAAGCAGCCTACATATGATCCATAATTTCATGGTTATATCAATGAGGCATAACATTTCCAGTAGGCCAGTCAATTAAATGTTTTACTCTGTTACAAATGGAAACAGATTAGGAAATGAACAGACAATTCCTATAGAAATTGCAGAATTAAATGTGAAATCTGAAGGATTTCTCGTGACTGGGGGGTGGGATTTATTTGCTTTGATATTACTTCTCCCTGATGGTTAAAGTAAACAAAAATACAAAACATAAATACAGAAAAGTTATCTACAAAAAAAGCTGTCCAGACTCTACTGGAGTGGTAGCCATGACACAGTTTAATAATAACAGCAATAATAATAATGCTTAACTTTTTTTTCTTGTACCCTAAAGTTGTATTTTAATTTTCTTCCTAATATTATGATGGTGGTTGTATATGGGAAGAAATATATATTCCTATTTTTTTCCATTCAGTTTGCCATTCTTAGTTATTTAATAGAATACCCAAATAATAGCTATATAAAGAAATAATTTCAGAGACTCAAAGTAATAACTACACCAAAGTGAAAACACTTCGTTTCCATTTAAGTCTGTGTATGTGTATTTTGCAGGGTTTTTCCCTATTATCAGGGATTATAGTTTATTACAGAGCAAGATCAGTAGACTAGCTACAGAGGAAGATACAAAAGCATTTCTCTATTGGGAATATGTCCTGTTTTAATTCTGTCAAAACACAGAGCTTCTCCACAATATTTTAAAAAACAATAACGTTTTCCTGATGTTGTAATTCTAAATAGGCAGATACATAGGCTTTCAGCCTGCCTCCTTTCTGTTGCAGTAGTGTAGTCCTAACAAAGAAGTTAGATTCTAATTATGCTCAGTGCATACATCTGATTTTAGAAATTATAGTATTTGTTTCAAGGTCTTGACACGTTCAAATATATTCTGTCAGGGACTGTGGCTATGTGCTTGCAAAGGAGGCTAGTAGTGTTAGCTGTGTATCACTCAAGAGACATGGGGTTATTAAACACAGTAGCTACCAGCCAAACCCACTGATAAACTGAACTTTCAACTGCTAGCATGTACTCTTTATTACTATGTTTAACCCTTGAGCAAACATAACAATTAATGAGATTAACATTTCCCCATTTAATACAAATATGATGCTATTAGGAGAGCAGCAATGCAGCAATGTGGGAACCATGTCCAACAGTACACTCCCAGGTGTGAAAATTCAATTTAGGCACACCTGACCAAGCCAACTCTGGTCAGTTTACAGTATACATGATTAGTATATGATGTTACCGTGCAGTTTTTCAAATTGAGTAACTTCAAATATTATCTAGCATTTTCCTGGGTTTTTCCATCCATGAGGAAGGAAGTCAAACTTAGGCAACAATGAAAACAAGAAATTAGAACAAGTGAAAAAACAATGGAGAAATCTAAAGGAGCACATCTAAGGATTTTCCCCACTTCTCACTTGCAATACTTTCTACTCATCTTTGAATTGACAGAAAAAAGGTTAGCATAAAATTAATTGTCTTCTGCTTTACTATGCAGTTTCCCTTCCATGCTGCAGATCGGAAGTGAGGGCTGCGTGATAAAGTGAGAGAATCACCTCCCTCAAAACATGCCAAGAAAATTTCCTGTCCTGTTTATCATCCAGGTCCTTTATCCCGTGAATTGTTCAGTGACTTCAGAGGGATAAACCAGCACTATAACAAAGAATGGCCTGGACCCCAGGATAAGGGATGTGCATAGCATCAGCCCAAACTAATCAATAGCAAAAGGGCTTATCAGCCCACTCCCTACAGGTCAACTGACTACACTGCTCTCAACATGGGCAGGGAAGTGCAGCAAACTCTTCTAACTTTTAGTTCAACTGGTTGTTGTCAACTTAAGGAGGCAACAGTATTTAACTGTGATACAGCTAATTGTGACCTAAGGTTATCTCCCACATGGACTGAGGACAAGAATAAACGCAAAATAAAGATGTCACCAGATGCAGTGGTCTGTAGGAATGACCTTGAGAGATGGAGGGAAGAGATGCTGCCTAAGGAACAGTCAGATAAGAGAGGGCATAGCCTGCAGTTGTATAATAAGTGGAGAAAGAGGCTTAGAAGGGACCCTCCCTAACTTCTCAGGCTGTAAAGGAGACAACAGGAGATTTGTACTCTCAGGCTTGCAAGATTGATATCAGCCTTCCCAAGTAGACCAGACAGGAAAGATGATCAGATGTGCTAACACTACTTTATTGTAAGGCTACATTAACAGAATCTTTCCCACGTACCATTACACCACGGTGTATTTGTACCAGAGTGAAATGCAAGTGAGGAAAAACCCTTAATCACTAGTTGCTTCCCCCTTCAGCAGTTACAAGACTTGGATGTTACAGCAAAGAGATGCATTGCCATCCAATTCAGTTATAATCTGTTGAAAGCATATTACATTATTTTAGCTATATCCTTGATTGCTTTTTGGAATTTATGATCTTGCATGTGCTCCAGTCAATACTGAAAACAAGAAATAATTTCTCACATGCATAGCTCTAATATTTAAATCAGACCATTTTATAAAGCTTAACTAGATCATGTCCCAACCACTTGACAGGTAATGAAATACATATTTTTATACTGTTATCAAATTGTCATCTGTGTCACAATTAAGAACAGACCTTTTACACTCTTGGCCTCAAGTCCATTCTGCTGGACTTGCATATTTATTTAGCTCTGCTGTTACAGTACCAGCACTAATTGATAGATTTTTTTCAAAGATAGAAACAAGAGACCTCTAAATTTCAGCAGTGAAATGAAGTGCCAAATAAAAGTTCTTCTTAAGTCATTTTTATGACAGATTAGTGTTTTAGTTCATAAGAATTTTATTAAGTTTCAAACAAGAATAAAATACACAAAAACATCAAAAGAAAAGTAGAAAAGAAATAAAGAAGTCTGAGGAAGAAAAGAAAAGCGGGGGAGTAAAAGAGACAGAAAATAAGGAAAGAACAACTTCCAACTGTCTTCGGTACAGTTATAAGTAAAATAATACATTAACTTCTTACCCTAGTGATATCAATAAAACACAATGTTTGTATAGCAAAAACAATTCTAAATATCAAATCTCAAAGTCAAAATTTCTTTCAGTTACAAGCAAAAATCCCAAGAGTAATTTCTAACAAAGTTAAAGAAATTTATACAGACAGGTTATCCCAAGGTAACTTAACACTCTAGTTCAGAAGTCTTAAATTACAGCTTTAATATCAGACTGAAACTCAGAGTTTTCCATTACTTGTTTTTCAGTTTGTATACATACTTGATCTTTTCCTTCTTCCCTCCCTCTCAATATCTCCATTCACTTTTGGTTTCACTTCATTTCATTTTCAAATAATAAAATAAAAATTAAAATGATGATTCACTGTGATAAAATAGATTGTCAAAACTAGCCTACCCTTTAGCAGCTCCTTCCCCCCCCCCCGCCCCCCAGTTAACACATCTGAGGGCACCAGTTTGCATAATAATTTTAGGGGAGAAAGTGATTAAATGCTTTTAAATTTAATTGTTCTATTGAAACAGATGTGGCACACAAAGCAACCAGGCTCAGTTGTAATAGGAATAGGTCAGTGTCCTCCTTTGCTATTTATTTAAGAATTGTAGAAAGAACTGAAAAGCCATGTGCAGATGGATAGGAATGAACACATACATTGTGAATGCGAGCATGGTAATAATAGTGATAACAAAAATGTTCGCCAGCACGTTTTCCCAGGGCTCCAGGTCAATGCAGCAGGTAATCAACAAGTATTGAAAATAAAGCCAGCGGAAATAATTCTTCACACGCTTCATAGTTCCTACTGCCATCAATCGTTGCTTCTGGAAAGTTGTCCTATTAGAATCAACAAAGGGCAGGTGTTATAGCTTAAGTTGTGAATAGAGGAAATAATATTGTAGAACATTCTGCAGGATTATTCATTTCCACTGAATTTATAAGAGCACAGTTCAACAAGAAGCTCTTTTGAAGTTCAGCTGAAGGAGAATCACTGAAACATAGCTATGCTAACTGTATAGCAATCTCCTGGGTTAGCAATATTTTTGAGCAGTTTTTATTGGAAAGGATACATTCATTACCATCTCTTTTATTTGTATATCACCATTTCCCTTTTGGCTTAGGCAAACTGGGGTGATCATGCATCAGAGTGCATGATCTAGGAAGAAGGCAGAGGATTAGAGGGAAGCCTACAGTACATTGACCATAATTGACCCTCAGGTCATAGGTTGTGTATGTTTTACCCTATGAATGAGCCATCCATGGCTCTTAGCTGCACTTTCTACAATCCGCAAGCCTTGGGAAACCATTCAACTTTGTTCTGAAGCCTAGTTGGAAAGCAGAAAATAGATTCTTATTTTCTCATTGCCAATGGCAACAGAGAAACATCAAACATCAGTAAGGTGATGGTAAGACATCTTCCTTCTCCAATCCTACTTCTGATCATAGATTCACAAAGTTAATACAAAGAACACTTAGCAGTGGTTACCAACAATTCTGTCTATTTAGTACTTACAAGCACCTAAGTAGTGCTTGGATCCAAGATATTTCAAAGGCTTCATTAGCCTTGCCCAACTTTGCACTCTAGATATGTTAAAACTGCAGCTTCCAGAATGTTGGCCATAAAGGCTGGAGAATTTATACAGTACACTGCTAGGATTCCCTGTGGAGTTGTCAATATATAAACAAAATAAATACCAGATACAGAAGGCATCTGCGTCGGGAAGGATTAGGGGTTATATGTTTAATTGGACCATTTCTGCAGAAGAACTCTGAGAAAGGAATTTCTTGAAAAAGAATAGGTTGGCTCTATCTCTACTGAGTTTTAGACACATTATGAATGATTGTTTTAAAGTTTGCGATGGGTTTTTATACTGGCTTGGCTCATTTTAAGGATAGTTTTGCCTTCATTATGTTGTGATTCTTATTAAAGTTTTTTTTTTAATTAAAAAAAAGTACCTTGCTGGGCAGAAAAGGAATTTACATTTTTATTTATTTTGTTATTAAATTTATATGCCCCCCATCTCCCCCAGAGGATTGGGGGAACAGGGTGCCCCCTGCCATAAAAATACCATATTCTTTGCACAAGACTATTTCCAGAGGGTTGAGGTGAAAGACAATCCTCCACTTGAAGATCCACCACTCTTTCCTTTTCTCAGCAGCCCACTGCCTCTCCTCCTACATCCAACTCCCTAGTAACATTATTCTGAAGGACTCTTCAAAGTCATGCATTATGAGGTGGCTACAGAAGTGCCAGTGCAGGCAGATACCACACCCACTTCAGAATACATAGCTGCCTTATATACAATGATGTTCCAGGCTGCAATTTAGCATGGCATCAGATGAGGAATTTGCCTCAGTTCATCACCGCTTACACTTCGCAGTCTGAAATAAGTGCTTCATTGCACTTAATGGTGGGGCTGGCCCTACGTATTTCTAATTAGTAAGTTCAATATTACCTGTATCCAGTGATGATTTCCTGAAGATTAGTCATTCTCACCAGTCCTAGGAAACAATGGAAAAGCCTAACTAGTGCTGTACAAGTACTGATAGTATAATGTAGTATTGCATATTTTCATTTTTGTGTCTTTATTTGAATGCAGTATAAGCACAATAAAATGAACAATACAATATAACCAATATCAATAACATTGTTTAATATTTATTCATTTATTTATCACGTTTATATAGCCGTCCATTTCACATAAAAGTGACTTTTTAATCAAGCTATACCATAAATTAACTCCTACCAAGTATTGTTACTGAAAGGTTCTTTCAACTTTATCAAGGTCTGAAGAAAAAAAGTGTTTTAAGAGCCATTTTAAACCTTATAACATCAGACTCTGAACATTGTTCACAGGGGAATTTATTCTAAAGTGTAGGAGCTACATGGCAGAAAGCTCTAAAAAATGAGATGGCCATTCAGACAAGAGAGAAAACTAAGCAACCCTGTTTACACAAATTGTAATCAAGTTATTCAAAAAAAAAAAACCTGCATGTTCCTGGATAGAGTACTCCAAAATGTCAGCTCCAGCAGTTTGAACTGGTAATGTTCCTGAAGTCTCAGCCAATGTAAGGATTAGGAAAAGAAGAAATATAGAATTGGGAAATGTCCAGGAGAGCGCTATTCTGCAGCTAACCAGAGACCAAAGAGCAGAGTTTAGAAGGCCTGGCAACAAACAATTACAGTATTACAGGTGGTACACAAGGGATTTGAGCATGAAACTGAGCAAACTCAGGGAGGCAGTGAAGGACAGGAAGGCCTGGTGCGATATGGTTCATGGGGTCACGAGTCGGACATGACTTAACAACTGAACAACAACAACAATCCCGTCGTCATGGGATGATGTATCATCAGTATGCTGATGATACTCAACTATATATCTCCATTCCTGGTGAGGGAAGTGATGCCGTAACCACCCTCTCGTGGTGCCTGGAGGCTGTGAGGGTCTGGATGGGGAACAACAGGCTCCGGCTGAACCCTGGCAAGACGGAGTGGCTGTGGGTTAATGGCTCCTCTGTATCCCGGGCGGCGTCAACGGTGGGGGCGGATGGGGGGGGAGCGGCCC